ATGGGGTTTCACCATGTTAACCAGGCTGGCCTCGAACTCCTGAGCTCAGGCAATCCACCCACCTTGGCCCCCAAAGTGCTAGGATTACAGGTGTGAGCCACCGCACTCGGCCTCAAGTGGTATTGTCTTTCAACCTCTCAACTTCCTGCTGTGGCTGCATGTGACTGTATGTGAAATGGGATGAGACTTCCTAAAAATGTGAGGCCCGAGCCCTGCCCCTCATCCTCCCCATGGCAGGCACTGATGGACGAGCCTCACTAATTCCTCCATCGTTGAGAAACACCTAGTGGAAGCAGTGAGTTCACTGTATCATGCATGTGCTTAGAAAATGTCCAGTATTCGTTTCCATATTTCTTATGATAATGAGGCAAATTTTATCTCACTTTCATGAAGTAATACATTTAAAATGAAAGTAAATGAAATAAAACATTCTTACATTCTTATCTGTTGGGGGAAGCTATGAGCAAAACCCAGGAAACTGCAGATTTTTCTTTCACAGATAAGCCACTGATAACAACCTTTCTTGTGTGGGTTCAAGGCAGTGCAGTGAGGATGAGATGAATGCAAAAAGTATTTTCACTTTTTGAAACATTTGCCTATGCTGTGTATGTGTCTCTAGCATAATGTCTACTAAATGGACATGCACCTAATGAACGACTACTGATTGAAAAGATAAATGAACATACGAAGCAATTTTAGAGAAGAAGGGATCATTTTGTTAGCCATCCACGAGGACTGAAAATTCATGTTGAAGTAGATTATTAAAATATTATTTTAAGTACTATGTACTTGTAGGGAATTCCTTATAACTATTGGTGATCAAAGAAAGCTGCTTTAATGATCAGGACAGGCAAACAGATCAGCATGGCCATAGGACGATTCTTTATTTTGCAACATTAAATGGTTCTGTTTCTCTCATTACTTACTGGAAACCCAAATGTGATCACATATATCCATGCGCTAGATAAAATACGCGGTGACCTGTGGTATTTGAAACTGGCTTTTTTCAGCTGTGATCGTATAGTCATTACTATAGTTGTGAAACTGGCTTCCTTCAATCAAACTTAATGGGAAAATCTAATTACCACTCATAATAGAACATTATTCCCTTAACAAAGATATTCACCTTGAGGCTTTGATCTAAAAATATTTAAGTATTTAATTTTTAATGCAATTCTCTTAACATTTAAAAAAAATCTATAACATGCCAGGTGTTACAGATTTCTGAAACAATGAAAGACAGGCCTGACCTTGTGAAGCCTGGGGTTTAGTAGGTAACACAGGGCTATATATACTATCACAATACAAAATGTGAACAAAACAATATGAACTCACAGAGGTGGTGATGATATAGGAATTCAGAAAAATTAGGCAGATAGTGAGGGTACAGGAGTCCTTGGTAAGGTTTTCCTTCTAATGAAAAACAGCCCCCAAATTATTTTCTTTTCTAACAATGAGCAGCCTGTAAAATCAAGCTGCAGACGTAGAAAGCAAGCTGGAAGCTTGCACAGGTGAATGCCAGGAGCTGTGCCAATAGGAAATGACTACCTGGGACTAAGTATGTTCAAAATGGCGGCTGCATGTTCCCTTCTTTTACCAGTCACGTGTACAGTAAGGAACAGGCAAGATGGCACCAGCCTAGTGGAAAGCACATTTGCATAATAAGATTAGGGTGGGGTGGTCAGCCTTCCCTGTGTGCTATGTAAACGTCACACCTGGTCCAACCAATCTGTGGGCCCTAGTAAATCAGACACCGTCTCACCAAGCCTGCCTATAAAATCTGATGCAGTATGCCATAGGCTGGTTGGCTGTTGCTTTTGGGAGCCCCTCTCTCTGACATGGGAGAGAGCTGTTCTCCTTTCTCTTTCTTTTAGCTATTAAACCTCCCCTCCTAAAGTCCCTCCCACTGTGTGTCCATGTTTTTAATCTTCTTGGCGTCAGACGACGAACCTTAGGTATTTACCCTAGACAATGATGCAGCTTCAGTGAGGTCACTAAAAAGGAGAAATTTTAGTTTGAACTTATTTATTTATTTACTTATTTAGCTCCCATCTGTTTTGTAGTTCACTGGATAAAAAGGAAAGGAGATGAATTAGTGAATAAATAAATGTCCTGCCCCAAAGAGACAGCAAGGGCAAAGGCAGAGAGGGATTAAAACCCATGGTATTGCAGCACACTCACTGTGCAGTAGCTAGAAATAGAATACAAATCATGCATTGTTCTTCAATGTCAAATTACTGAAAGCCATATGGTATCTATTTGGCTTGTTTAAACTGCACTTTCAAATACAAGAAACAAAACAAATTGTATTCCAACTTACTGGCTTCTTTCTAAAGGAGAAACCTGCTCTTTCTAATCTTCTTGTCTAGAAAAAAGAGACGGGGTTGCATCAGCAACTACTCTGTTGGTGTAATATGCATGTCCAAAAATAGCACCAAAGCAAATAGTTTGAATCCTCAATTTTGTTAAATAGCTGGATATTTTGTTCCAAAATAAATCTAAGTAAATATCGAAAAACAAATCTCACTTTCATGAAGTAATAAATTTTAAATGAAATTAAATGAAAACATTCTTATCTGTTGGGGAAAGCTATGAGCAAAACCCAGATTTTATAAAGACACTGCAGATTTTATATGGTATACTTTAGAACTATGAATGATGATCTGTGGGGTACCCAGGCAGGTGTAGAAACAGATGTTGCCCAATACAAGGTCTCTGGGTCTGTTTCTTCCAATCTCCACCCACAATCACTCTGGCTTGACTCCATCATCAGCCTTTGTGTTCTACACATGATTGTGCCTTTATTTTTTTTTTCCATTTGCCTTACTACAAATAAATATATAATCTAATTTCCCAAAAATCAAATAAGGGTATTCAGGCAGTTTAGAAAGAAAGGAATGAAATGAAAAAGGAACTTCTCTCCTTCCTCTGCACATTTCTTTCCCACAGAGGTAAGTGGTGTCAATTCCTTGTGATTGCTTCTAGGAAGTGAATGTGTAATTATGCCACATCCTCTGACTGGGGTCAATGTTGGGAATTCTGTTTTGCAATACAATGCTCAATATCACTAACATTTTCCAATTTATTTGTAGAGTGCAACATACTTTTTTGGGGTAGTTTTAAGTTCCTCTGTTTTTGGTTATTTTTCATTTTCAAATTTTAATATTGTGTTTTCTCCTTTTGGTGACTAGTTTTGTTAGCAAGTTATAGTTACTATTCTTCCCTTAATTGCTTATTTTCAACCTATTTACCCACTTTCTGTTTCCTAATTAAGTTCGCTTTTTTCTTTATTATTTTCTTCCTTTTTTAGGTTTATTTTGTTATTTTCTAACTTTTGGTCTTGAGTAACTAAATTCCTTTTACTTTTACTCTTTCCTGCTAGTTATATAGATATGCAAGCCTATGTATTTTTCTTTGCTTTTTATTTCTAATATTTAGTGTTTTAATTATAATAATTTCTAAATAATCTGCAATTATAAATTTGATTATTTCTTTGATCTTAGACATTTGTGGGAAAAAGATTACAAATTTCAGGGTTGTTGTAGTTTTGTCCCTGATTTTGATTGTTATTTTTTACATTTTCTGTGTGTTTGTGTGTGTGCATCAAGAATGTAGTCTGTATTATTTCTTCTTTTCCCCTAATGTATAGCCAATCACTTTATAAGTGATTAAAGTGAAGTATATTCTATAAGACTATAGAATTTAATATATTATTACTTTAGCTTCAATTATTTTGTTCAGAATTTCAATTTTT